GAGAGAGAGAGAGAGAGAGAGAGAACACAAATGATAAGAATTCAATCTAGCGTATTTTATTATCTGTTTAATTACCCCACAAATGTAAACTTTATTTAAATCACTGACATAGAGCTGAATACAGCCAGATTTAATTTAGAGACTGACCAAAATACATTTTAAAACACTTAGCGTGACCAGTAGGGCATCATGATAGGTCACTGAATGCGGAAATTATTCATAACATACATAATTTATTAATTTAAATGATATTATAAGAATTGTACGAAAGCCGAGAAAATGATGATCAGTCGCGTTTGGTTGTAGTCGCCGGTCGTACCGAACGTATTGTAGGCCAACTATTGGACGCCTGTGTCGGTAAAGTCGACGCCGAGTTTCGCGCACTTCTCGACAAATCGTTTGTCGATAAAAGCGGTACGAATGGCGCGGACGACAAGTGGCGAGTATTTGCGGTATTGAAACGCGCGACGAGTGCGGCCGCCGGCGACGGTACGGATGGCGGCACCGGATTTGCGCAACTCGTGCGACACGTTTGCCCTCAAATCGGCCAAAACAAGACTAGCATTTGGTTTATGTTTCCCGGTATATAAGCAAGTTTATTATGTGTATTATTATGTGTACACAGTTAATTATATCAACCATGTTACTTTGTACACACACACAACAACAACCAGTTATTCTAAACAATAAACACTCTGTAATAATAACAACGATATTATTATAGGCCAACAAACAGTGGCCGACGCCATGCCGTCGCTGATGGCTATACCGGCGTTTAGGGCGTCGGTGGAGGCGTCCGGACGCGTATTGGCCGCACAAAGGGTCGACCTAACGGACTGTTTGGCCGAACGGAGCGACTGGCGTCTGTGCCAAGACATTCGGGCCATTCGCCGGCTGGCCATCGGTTCGGCGGTTTGTCAGATAGCGTTGGCCGACACGTTAAGTACGGCGGGCGTCCGGCCGGGCGGCGGCTGTTTGGGCACATGCATTGGCGAAATGATGTGCATGTGGGCGCTGGGCATGTGCTCGCCCGGCCAGTTGTTTCGGCTGCGGTCCGCTGTTCCGGCGGAGATAATCGCCAATCGGTGCCCCTATTGGGTGTTTGTGGCCCGCGTGCCGGCCGACGAGCTCCGGCGCTGGTGTCCCGACTTGCATATCAACGGCCACTACGGCCGCGACTATTGCCTGGTGTCGGGCACCGAGAGGGACACCGCTCGCCGGCACCGGGAGTTGACCGAAGCTGGTTTCGCGGTAGGCAACGTTGCTCGCAAAGTGAACCAGGGCCATTGGGGTCATCGCCTGGCCGCGCCCGGCACGTACGAAGCGTTGCGCCGCGCGTTCGCCGAGACCATGCCCGGCCGCGTACGGGTGCCGCCGGCCGTTGCCGGTCTATGGCTGCGCGCATCCATACAGACGCCGAGTGCGCGCGCAGATACGGGCGACGACTTTGGCGATCAGCTCTCAGTGGCCGAGCATTTGGCCAACACTATGGTCGCGCCGGTAATGTTCACCGAAGCGGTCGATCGTCTGCCCGGCGACGCTCTGGTCATTAATATTGACATTAATGGCGCGCTAAGAGATATAGCGCTCGCCGGTAGGGCTCAGGCGGCGTACGTCACTGAGTCGACGGCGAGTTGTCACGTGTCGGGCGTTAATCATTTGCTCCGCGAGTTGGGACTGGCGTTCACTGCCGGCCACTGGCCTCGACTCATAGATTTGATGGCCGATCGTCGCCCTGAGTGAGCCATTTGTGACAGTTTGTGGTTATTTGTCATTTATTTTTATTTGATATGACCATGTTAATAAAATTTTTTTAAAGTTTTACAATATAAAATAATCAAGCATAAACAATTATTTAACGCTAATCATTACAATTTGAGTTTATGTTTAAACTCAAGTACCATTGTAATGCTAATAACATTATACATTAAATATAATCTGATAATGCTAGTTACATGTGTTATTTTCATAACAAAATTTATTTACCCTATTTAAAAATGTGCGCGTAAAATTCATGTAAAACTAAATGTCATGTGAATGGTGATCATACTGTAATGCAAAAACTAGTTTTTTGCTGGTTATTTGACAGGTTTGATAAGTGCACTGATGTTAACCATGCCATACATTCATATACACGTACTGTACATAAAACTGCTGTATAATTACATAATACAGTACATAGACTACACTGTATGTTGTATGAAGTCATAGTATACTCAATAGCACTCAACAACAATTGTGCAGTCATTTTGTGTTTACATTGAAAATAAATTGTTATATCAAAATAATTTTTATAAATAAAATTACTTATTTGTTGTAATTTATTATAATTACATTAATAAATTCAAATGCCTATCAAGAAGGTAATTATTTTTGGTGCCACTGGTATGACAGGCATTCCCACTGTCCAGCATGCGCTTAGTAAAGGTAAGCTAGATCAAATACTAGTAATAAGTATACTTATTAATACTAAATTACTACTCAATAAACCACAATGAATTGGCGATTACAAAAATTAACATGGTAATCTAAACACAACACCAACAAATTAGGTACTTTACTTGTATTAACCACTATGCATTACATAATATGATAAATCATCGAGTTAATTATTTATAATAATTTTATTAAGGCTATGAAGTGACAGCTTTTGTAAGGGACAGCACTAAACTGCCGGCCGATGTCCGGCCCACACATGTAGTGGTGGGCGATGTGACGAATCGGGCGGACGTCGACCGGGCAGTGGAGGGTAAAGAGGCTGTGATTGTGGTGTTGGGCACCCGTAACGATCTGAGCCCCACGACAGCCCTGTCCGACGGCACCCGTAATATCATCGCCGCTATGGCCGCACACAATGTGCAGCGCATCGCGTGTTGCCTGTCCTGTATGTATACCACGTTTAATACTTACAAACTCTTATGTAGTCATTCAATACATACAATACACTAAATAAAGTACACAAAGTTTAATATTTTAATAAGTAACACATATCATGATTACTTTAACTAAAATATAATAACATTAAATATGTATTATTAATCATTAATCACACTTTACTACTTACCGGTAAAACAGCGTTTATATTCTGGGACCGCAACAAAATACCCGAACGCATACTACCCGTGCATTCAGACCACGAGCGTATGCTGGAGGCCCTGCGCGGCTCAAACCGCCAGTGGGTAGCCGTGTGTCCGCCACATATTGAGGGTAAGTAGTCTCACCAGAACTAACCATGGTGATTTGAGTTTTGGGTGACAAAACGTATTGGGGTTAACATGTTTAAAATTTTATAAATGCTTATCTTGTTTGTTTTGCAGACAGCCCAGCACGTGGTAACTATATCCTGAAAAATGATGGCCCTGTCGGGCGCAGTATCACCAAGGGCGATTTGGCACACGTATTGGTCGACGCGTTGACTGATGACACTCGTGTGGGTCATTTGGTGGGCATGGGTTACCCGTAAAGAGTTCCAACATTAAGAATTTATTTTATATGATCATGATTGATTTGTGTTAAAAAATTTAATTAAATTTTTATTTTAAAACTTATTGAAAATTATTTTTGTAGATAAAACTGCCATTATTGTTGTATTTTATTTATATTTACATTAATTTAATACGAATTTAATTGCATACACTTATAATAAATCCAAATGGTCATCAATATAATTAATTTAAGTAAAATATAGTATTATTATAAGTTTATTATTATGATACATAAACAATATACTGTGTACTTGAGATTATATCAATATAATCTAATAGAACTAAAACAGTTTTAATCACTTAATAAACAGACAATCAACTCTAAAACTGAAAAAACTGAACATAATCATTTTGTTATGTTTTTATATAGAATATTTATACGGTATAGATATTAGATATGATATAATAAATATTATAATAAAGAAACTTATGTTAAAGTGACCATATTTATGTTTCCTGCACAGAATTTGAGTAATTATAATACATTAATTTTTTGGTAAATTGACTATATTCATGTTATCTACACAAAATTTCTGTGATTAAAATACCGATATTATTGGTAAGGTGACTATATTCACGGTTCCTGCACAAAATTTATCTTATTATAATACAGCAACGTTTGGTAAAGTACCCATATTTATGTTTCCTGCATAAAATTTGAGTAATTATAATACAGCAACGTTTGGTAAATTAACTACAGAAATGTTTTTATTAAATCGGGAATATTCTTATACGGGAATCCCGCCTGGCCATTATCTTGATATGGTCTGATCCAGTAGATCCAGATGATTTATAAACCGTGATCAAAATCTGCCAATGGCCAGTGGCTGCAGAGTTATGACCAGTTTTGTGATCACACACATAGTGTTTATAGCATTGAAAAAAGGTGTTTCACACA